AATCCAAGCTCCCTGGAAATCACCAGCCCAGACAACCCACCACCATCTTCCAGCCATTGCATCCCCTCATTCCAGGGCCCGGCACTTAGGGAGGTTCAAATCCAAGCTTCTCCTCTTCCTGGGATCTTGGACTAATTGTGTAATCTTTACTTACAGTAGTTAACTGATCTACAGATGAAGAAAGTATGTTGTGTGGGATAAAGGAGATATTTTGTATATGTTTTCAGCATGATGTCTTGTCCACTTCAAGGGAGAGGTCAAGGTCAGCTTTTATTACTATCATATTACTATGGAGGAATGAAGCTCAGTACAACAGGCAGAGGGGAGGACAGATAACTCCTCAGGGGGATGCCTGACACTACTGTGAGTACACAGAGTGTCCATTAAAAACTCTACCCAGTTTCAAAGAGTTATTCATAAATTCTTCGACCTTCCTCCCACTGGGAGATGGGTTGAGTTCTACTCACCATTCAAAGCAAGTGGGCTTCTGTGATCATTTCAACGAACAGTAAGAGCCACTGGAAAAAGATACACGATGTGTTTTGCTCACTAGGACACTTGTACGTAAAACCTTCGGGTGTCAGTTAAGCACCTACTGCCTAGAGCCGCCATATTGTGAGGAAGCCCAAAGTGGCCTGGGCAGAAACACCACATGAAGAGGCCCCAAATCCACGAGATTCTGGGCCAGTGTCCACTGCTCCAGCCCTGCCTAGTTCTAGTTTCTAGCCATAGAATAACACCAATAATACAAGGAAAACCAAACCAGAACCACTCAGCCAGTCTCTCCTCAAATCCCTGACCCACAGAAGCCCTGAGAGCAAATACAAGGAGTGGTGCCCTTTTATGTCATTAAGTGTTAGGTGACTTGTTGCACAGCATAAGGGAAAAATAATGTCCATAACGGGTGCAGAAGTCCCTCAGAGTTAGGTTCCCACCAACTCCCTCATTTCATCCTAATAATTGCACTGGGAAGAAAATGCTATTATTCTCACTTGATAATGCTGCAGACCCCCAGGGGGTAAGTGGATTGCCAAAGGTCACATGACAAGTGAGTGAAATTGGCAAGTCTCCTGTTTGGGAATTGTGACTCCAGTTGCAGTGACTTTTTCTGTTGTACCACTGTCAACTCTCAGAGTAGAACAGACCACAAAGACAAAAAAAAAAATACACACATGGAAACGCATATAGGCTGGAGTGAAGGTCAAGAGGGCAGCATTATGCTCCAGGCTCCCAGGCAGAGAGACACCAGGCCTTCCCCACAGCAGCACTGGCGGGCAACGGAATATGCAAGAATAAAATGGGCAGTGTTTGAAGGCCACATAATTAGGAAATGACGAGAGGGCACAGGTCTGGCGAGGCCCATGGTTTCCATCACCAGACATCTCAGCTGACAGCTTGGATGTCATTACAGTAGAGTTTTCAGAAATACTTGTCAGAGCCAGGAGAAGTTTCAGCTCAGTCACAGATGACTGTGACGTCCTCGGCTCGTGGCCCTGCACTCTGATGAGACGTCAAGAACAGCAGCAACACTCGTAGTGGGAAAGTGCCAGGAGGAAGAGAAGCTTCTGCTTCGAGCACAATGACTGACATTTCTCGTTTGCCTCTTTGGCTTTTTCACGAAAATGTTCCGTCGAGTGACAGGGACAGGGGTGTACTGGTAATGGGTATGAAGCCAGTGCCTCTGTGTAAATGCACATGGCTGAAAGCTGCTTTGCCTCTAGAGAGTTTTCAAACGCATGCACCGAAGCTCTGAATAGGACCAGGCTCCATATGCAAGAATTCTACCAGAGAAGGATGGTTTTAGGGTATAAGCAGAAACTTGATCAAGAAATACTGAGAAAGAAAAGAAAAATGAGCAAATACAAGCTAACCCTCAGGTGCAAATCAAAAGTCCAGAGAGTAAGTGAAGGTAAGAGCTAAGAATTTCAAAGTCTAAATTCCTACATTGCTACTCTATCTTCAAAGAGCATAGAAATAGAGAACTACATCTTTCGTTTTTCTTGTTCCTTGAAGCAGTGGGTTCCAAATATTTTTCACTATCTCAGAATCACCTGGTTAGACTTTTTTTTTTTAATACTAATTTTGCTGGGCCCTACTCCCACAGCTTGTCAGTCTGTAGGTATGCACTGGGCCCCAGGTATCAGCATTATCTAATCCGTAGCAATTTTAATGCACACCCAGTTTGGGAGTCACCCACATGAGTGACCGAGAATGTTCCTTGTGACCATAGTTGTGGAACTCTCAAATGGTAGTGAAAAGTATGGCTTCCCCGAATAAAATCTCTTTTCCAGCCTTGTATCTAGGTGGCAGTTAAGGGCAGCCTTCTGCTTTGCTCACAGGGTCTGAAAGGAACACAGGTGTAAAATCGGTAGGGTATATTCTTAAAGGAGGCACAAGTCCCATCTTAACACCTCTCTCCTGCCCTCTGGAATATGGACACCATACTGAAGCTCTGATACTCATTACTCACCATGAGATAAACCATGGCAATGCCCAGTCAGCAACATGGGGTAAAATATCAAATAATTCAGAATATGGATATTTACATCCCCACATCACTCTCCTCCAGTCATCTTAACCACAAAGAGAAATAAGGCGCAAATCTTGCTTAAGCCGTTGTTAGATGGAATTTTTTGGTTATTTGCAGGGAAATGTATTGCTAACACAACTAGCTATCTTAAAGTCTCTCTCCAATCCTAATATCCATAGTCACCACTAAAATAACGTGAGGCAGGAACTTGATATAAATCCACAATTTGCAAATGAGGAAAATGAGATGCAGGAAAGAGATATTCCATGCTCAAAGCAATAAAGCTAGTTAGCAAGGAAGGAGACCAGGATTTAGACTCATGACCCTACCTTCAAAGCCAGTGCTGTTTTGCCTACACTATTTTGCAGGGGACTCAGGACAGAGACCCACTTCCAAAATAGTTCTCACAAGCTGAGCTGGGGAGGGACACCCTGGCTAGGCAGACACAGCAGGAAGAGAATGCTCCCAGCAAGCTACACTCATGTGGCCTTCTGTTACACTGTGTCCCCTCCCATGCCCCAGACTTTTCCTTTTCTATTTTCTTATCTCCTTGATTCTTAGTTCTCTGGCAGGACTGAATCATAAAAACGTTAATGGTTCACATTCTAGGCCAAACCAACCTTGTCAGCAGGTTTCCATCTAAACTCATCCACTCAAAACTAACACCATGGCTGTGACTGATAGCAGAGAACCTGTGAAAAATCACTTGAGTCTTCACTCTTCCAAGGTTAGAGGTTCCCAAAGAAGTTAGGGTCCTGCCAAAGTTAAGAGCCCCCTAGGTCAAGGGGATGTGTTACCACTGTTCTGTCCCCCATTTGCAGAGGTGTAAAATGTAGACATTAAGCTACAGAAGAGACTAGCAATGCTTTTCCAGGATGGAAGGAATGGGCCTGCAGGGTGGTTGGGGCTGAAAAATGTACCACATGCATCACTTGCTGACATTGATACTTCTTTATTTGTTTATCATCTGCTTCCTGCCACTTCCTGCCGCCTCCCAGTGCAGAATATAAGAAGCAGAAGAAAGGGAGTTTCATCTTCTTTATTCACTGCTATTCGCAGCACAAGAGATGGTGTGAGATCCCCAAGCGGGTGCCCTAGAGGTGCTGAATGGAGGACTGAATGTTGACGGATCCCCTCCCAGGTCTCTGGGCTTGGCTGCATGAGCAGTGCCAGGTCCTGAATTCCTCATCTTTCCTACTCCGTGACAGTCCTCCTCACACATCTTCTACCACCTTTCTCCACCTCTCTGCCAATCTACAGTTAAACCAGGCTGCAACTATCCTCAGAGACTCTCGTGGTCTGCTTCAGTCGAGAGCTTCTTCCCTCACAGCTGAATTTCCTTAAAACTCACTCTTCATCACTGAAAAAAAAACCTGCATTCCCTACAACATACTGAACAGGACCACAGATATTGCTAATGACCCATTCTGATGGTCAGAGGCTGTGGCTCAATGTGCTACCTCTTCAGGGAGGTCAGAGTCTAACATTCTTGAGTCCAGAAAACAGAATAAAGTAACAGCAGGTGATATCTGCATTTAACTGAAACTAATACAAATTACGCACATTTGAAAATGTACTACATAGCAGGCAGTGTTCATGGCTTTTAAATGGCTATTCCATTTTATTCTCACACAGATGCCATGAAGCAAGATTTTTCTCTGAAGAGTACTGACAACATGTCTCAGGTTCAGAGAGGCTGGGTAACTTGCTCAAGGGCTCATAGCAAAAACCATCAAAGCTCTGCTCTGAACTCACTCTTGTCCATCTTGTCTGTGTCTCAAAAGGCCTTGAGATTGACAGGCAAGAAGCAATAGGAAGTGTGTGAATGACTGTGTGTGTGTGTGTGTGTGTGTGTATGTATCTTCATTGTAGAAATCAGCACGGATGCAGGAGTTCCAGGGTGGCAGGGGCAGTCTGCACTTATGGGAAAGTCTTCCAAGTTTCCAATGTGTTATTAGGAAAGAAGGTGTACTCTAAAAGGGAGGAAAAGATATGAAACTAGAAAATCTCAAATGACCGCTGTAGCTGAGCAACAAGTCTGATTCTGAACAGCAGAGGCCTCATGCCCTCAATGGAGAATGAGGCTAAGAGAACTAATAGGCTCCAAACTCCACCATTCACACTATAGTCTAAGTGACAGCGGACCCCCAAGATGATAACTAGGTATAGAATTCCTGAGCATGTGCAAAGGAACCAGGTGGCAGCGCCCATCAGATAGCGCCCCTTAAATCTCTGTGGACTAGGTCTTTGTATTCCCATTTTCCCAGCAGGAAACTGAGTCTCAGTGAGCTTCAATGACTTGCCAGACCTATCACCCAAGCCAGGGTTCAAGTCACTTCGCATCCAGGTCTGAGTCAAGAATGCCAACTCTTTCCAGGACCTGGATGTGCTTCCAGCTGGCATCTGTAAGAAATGGGGCACCTGGGGCTGTATGTGCCACCCCCATCCCGGGGCCCTAGGTGCTCTTTACCTCACACTTCTCCACCACCGGCTGCTGCCCACATTCGGAGCTGTTGCCTGCCACGATGCCAGCCCGCAGGTTCTCGCTGTCCCCAGTGCCCTCCTCCATGGAGTAGGTCCTGGAGTGGTTGCCTCGACGGTGCGCGGGGCCGCGGCCCTGGGCCAGGCTGAGCTGCCTGCGCAGCGCTCGGTTCTCGGCCTCGACCTCGCGCATGCGCACCTCCAGGCTCTCGCGCTCACGCTGGCTGGAGGCTGCATAGCGGGGACTGTGAGCCTGGGACTCCAGCGGTGACAGGGACACGGGCTTCCCATCTGCAGAGACACCAGGGAAAGTTTGAATCAGAAGTAACCGCACCTCCCCTGACACCCACTGCTATCTATATAGGCTCCTTCCCCATTGCATTTCTTTTTTTTTTAATTTTTGGAGATATTTATTAAGATAAAGGAAAATTTAAAATAAACTTTTAAGTTTTTAATAGTGTTAGATTTACAAAATGCTGTGAAAAAGATAGGGTTCTTATATATTCTATGCCTGGATCCTACTGTTATATTATACATTACATGCATTAATTGTTATCTAATATATAGCCATATATAATCTTACATATCTTACAGCACTACATTTCAGCCAATGAAGCAATATTGATACATTACTATTAACTAAAGTCCATGCTTTATTCAGACTCCTTAGTTTTTTTAATTTTTTTAAATTTTTTTTAATTAGTTATACATGACAGTAGAATATATTTATGCACTTTGATATATCGTGCATAGATGGGATATAATTTCTCAGTTTTGGGAAAAGCAAATGCAACAAAAATTATGTATAAATACATCCAGAGTAAAGTAAGAACAGAGTTGAGAGCAGAATGACTTATTATGGTAATAAAAACTTAACATGCTGTTTAAAGATCACAATCATAATGCAATCATTAGGATCTCCTCTATGTACATGTTTCCAGGTAGACAATCTTAACCCCAAAGCATGGTGAATATGGAGAGAGGGAAGGAAGAGACTGGAAGGGAATAGTATGAGGAAGTGGAAAAGAGCAAAAGAGGAAAAGAAGGAAGAAAAAGAAAATAATAATAGGACTAAGTGTATTGAGGTATTCTTATGTGAACTCCTATTCATCCTTCAAAACCTGGTTTTAAAACCATCACCTCTCAGGGATAACATTCAATGCAGGCAAAATGTCCTTCAGTATATTCCAGCAGCAATTTGTACACAGCGCAAGCAATTTGTACATAGCATTATGAAAACATGTATCTGTCATGCTGGAAGGGAAGATGCATGTATCAATGCCAAGAGCAAAATAATTAAGAGCAACAAAGAAGAAGAAAGTAGGAACATGACTGATCTCCCAGTTTTCTCAGAAAAAAAAAATTACCACCAGCACAGCAACACTGCATGTGACAATCATCCAACCCTCCAACAGAAACCTAGGACACACAGATAAGTAGGTCCCTCAGAGTCTCACAACCAGAGGGTGGTTTCAAAACTCAAACCCAGGTCTCTCTTATGTCTGAGCCCATGCACTAACCATTTAAGTGAATTTTTGTCAAAGACCATTCAGATAGTCAAAGATTTTTTTTTTTATTTGAACAATATAAACCACCATTTCCCCAAGCTACTTAGCATATCACCTGGTATATACTAGTTGCTTAAAGCATGCTGTTGAGGAGTCGCAATGTCCGAAGACATACCCAAGGCCATCACTTCTTTCTATTCCCACTCTTAAGCAATCCCAGTATCCAGCCACACTGGTGGCTGCCTCGGAGGCTGCCCAGCAAAAGAGTCACATCTCTACAAAATGACCCTCATTCACTTGCCTGCTAAAAAGCACTCCTCATTTTCCATACTTTGTGATTTTTCCTTTTCCTGTCCAGAACCCACTGAGCTTCCAAACTGTCCCAGAGAGTCTCTTTGACTCACAAAACTTGAAGATCAAAGACTGTGATGAATGACACCCGGCACGTCTCACCTGCACAGCCTGTGCTGTGCCTGCCTCTGCCCAGGACTGTTTGATGTTTCTTTGGGCCTTAACAAATAGGGCTCCTTTCCTCCCCCCTCCTAATCACCTCAGGGTTAAACACCTAAGCTCCTGATTCTCTCCTGTCAATGGAACGAATATGACTCACTGAATTCCACTGCCTGGAACCACAAATCAAAGGTGGGGGAAGAATCCGTGGGGGCTGTGAAATCACAGGTTGACTAGGCTGCATTGTTAGAGAGCTGGCCGATTACAAGCTCCTACCCAAGCTTTTGAAACCTGTCTCCCTGTTGGGTTAAAGCCAAATTAGTTCCATCAAGAGAATGAAAAAGAATAGGCTGCTAATAGCAGTTGTATTTTCCCAACTCACATGGACCTATCAGGTAGGGTGGGGAAAGAAGAGCATCTTTTTCCAAGGGAAGGCAGACAGTGAGGCTCTGTGTAGTGCCTGCTAAGATCTGCAGGGGGCATTCATGTTGTCAGAAGTTGTCACAACACAGGTAGGAGTAGTCCCCATTACAGACGAGGAAACTGAGACTCTAAAAGTTTAAACTGTGTGCTGATCATGCTGCAGCGCCCTTGGGAAGCAAGCTCTCTATCACTTTGCAACAGGCCAGTCTTCTGCATTATTGTGCTTAATTAAAGGCACAGAGGCTCTGGGGCCTGAGAGGAGCTTCCTTCGCATGGGCATTGAGTCAGAAACCCAGGATGTTCTGCAAACTCAGTGTCCTGGAGACCCTAGAAAATTGCCAACAAAGGTAATCTAGATGGCTTGTTCTTTGGAAGGACAACCTCAATGCTCTGAGCTGCAGTTTTCCCTTTTGTGATATCAGAACATAAACACGAGTCTCACAAGAGTTATAGGAGGCTTAAAAAGAGAGGCCAAAATACAAGAAGCCCTGTCAAAAAGGACTCCTTCAATGAATGAGCACCTCCAAGCTCCTCCCAATGAGGGTGGGGGGCATGGAAGATATGGGTAAGATGAGTTGAGGTTGTAACTTAAGGTTGAAAGCTGCGTGTTCTCGGAACATAGGGCCATTGAAGAAGCCGTGTCTAGGAACAGGGGGCCCCAAGCCTTGGCTTCCTTGGATAGATCCTTGGATATGGGGCAGCCCTGTCTCCTGCTGTCAGCCTGCGCCACATCAGTGTCCACTCACAATCACCATGGAGGAGAAGCAGGCTCCACCAAGGGCCTGCTCGCACCCCAGGGCCCCTCCCACAAGGGCCACATTTTACACTTTTACGTAAATGGCGATTCTTTGACTATGTGCTCCTGGGAATTGATTTTAACCTCCTGGGTCCACTTCCTTCCTATCCCTCTTTAGATCCCAAATGGCTTTAGCCAGACTCAGTGCCCAAAGACTGGCAGGTGTTTTCCACTTTTAGAACTCCATGCTTTGCCAGCCCTGAAGACACTCCAAGTAATAACTCACAGGACTCAACTCGAGGGACCAGTGTTGCCACAGGCAGCCCTTACTCTGTGCCCAGGAGCCACCATGGAGGCAGTGCCCCGTGAACAGCACAATCACAATTCTAGCTTGTTTCCTTTGCTTCGCTGCAGGATAGATCATCCTGCCCCGGCCCCTGCCTCTTGCTCGGCCCATATCTCCTTCTGAGGGAAGCGGAAGTAGACCAGGGGCCCCTCTCAGCTCTAACTTTCTGTGGCCTCCTGGTCCAGGTGGACCTGCCTGTCTAACGCAGCTGTGGCATCCCAACATCATGAGCGGACCCTGCTGCCTGTCACATTCCTAGCTCGTTCTAGCTTTATTTATTCAGACTCTTGCTTTTGCTCCTGGGTCACTCACTTCTAGCTTCTGAGTCCTTTTCTTGTGGCATCTCCTGGCTCTTGGGGTGTGGGAACGGGGAGAGTTAAGTCAGTGAAAGGCGGGTCCCCCGAGATGTGGTCTCCACTTCTCTGTCAGGCCGGTGGGCTTGGTCACTCCCAGGCACCTTCCTATGGTTTCTGTGTGAACCACATTTGAAAACTCATCACACTGGGCAGGACTGTGTCCACATAAACGTTTTTCAAACTATTAGTGGTGTAAAATCCATTTCCTCTCCCAATCTATACTGGGCAAAGGTTGGCCTTAACGCATGTGGTTAGTATAGAGCTTGCCCCACGTAGAAATCACCTCTTGAACTCAACAAACTGGCATACAGTTGTCCATCAGGAACAATCTACTTATCACATCCTTGATAATACCAAAAAATCCAGTTGCTCTAGAAGTTTCTAAATGCCTACTATCAAGCTCCATATGTATCTTGTTGCAAACCAGGAACAGTTTGGGGATGGTGATGGTTAATTTTATGTGCCAATTGACAGGGCTGTGGGGTGCCCAGATCTTTGGGTGCTTCAGTGAAGGTATTTTTGGATGAAATAAAAATTTATCTGAGTAGACTGAGAAACCCTTCTCCCATGTGGCTGGGCCTCACCCAATCAGCTGAAGGCCTCACTAGAACAAAAAGGCTGATCGTGCCCAAGGAGAACAGTCCTCCTGCCTGGCTGAAACAGTCCTTCTTCCTAGGTCTCCAGCTTCCCGGAATGTGGACTGGACTCACACCATTGCTCTCCTCCTTCTGAGGCCTTCAGGCTCAGAACACACAGGGGTCAGCCTGCATGGCCATGGAAACTCATTGCTTTTAACAAGCATTTGTGTAAACATGCGCGCGCGCACATGCACACACACACACACACACACACACACACACACACACCTATTGGTCCTGCTTCTCTGGAGAACCTGATTCAGAGACACAACTGTCTGTGGTGCAGACCTTGCACCGTGGCAATGCCTGATACCCAGTCACTTTATCCCAGGGCCTGGTGCCATTCCTGTACTTAATGTCTGAAGAAGGGAATCATGGGAAGAACTGAAACCTAGACCTTAAAAATGGCATGAAAAGTATGACACGTTTTTTACCTCTCAGTTATTTAAAGGGACATCTCGGTGCAATATTAAGAGCCAGGGGAGAGGAAGAGACAATCAGGAAAGCAGGCAAGTCCCCGACAGCATTCAGAACAAGAAAGGCTAGTCTCAGTTGTGGTTCTTCCATCTACTCAGGAAGAACCTTGGCCTAAGCTTTCACTTTCCAGGGACTCGGTGTCTCCATAGGTAACATGAGGTACCTGGGGTGTGACTTTAGGTATGGTCACATTACCCAGCATCAGGCTCAAGTTTCTTTCTCTACCCTTTCTCCAGCCTCACCCACATAACCCCGGGAGCAGATGAGTGCAGGCAACAGTAGGGCAGGTCCCTTGGCCTTGGCTTCCCTGTCCCCTCTTCCCCAGGCTTCTATTTGGTAGATATACACACGCATACA